ACCTTCGTTGTATAAATGCGCATGGCACCTTCCCCAGGCGGCTCCAGCGCACATTCGCAACGATATCCTCCCCGCTAGTTTGCGCATATCTGCGCCCGCGCGAACTTCTTTGACCACTGGCCCGAACGAGCGGATCTGAATCACAGGTCGCGACATCCGCTGTGTAAATGCGCACAAGACTAGCGCGCGCTCGGTTCTCTGCAATCCAGAAGGAACCTCATACGTAGATCAAATGTTTTTATCGTACATGTAGACAGTAGACAGAGAAGCTCACGAGATATCGATGCCGTCCGGGCCCTGGACACGGACCCGGCGGCGAGGTTCCTGGATGTTACAGTCCACCGGAATTCTTCCGAGTCGGCGTCTCCTCCACAATTCGAACCAATATCAATATGAATTTGCTCCCATGGACGCCGAACGCGATCGGTGCATGCGGTGACCAGATGAGACATCTAGCGGCGCTGAAAAGACGCCTTTCATCGTTCGGCTGCTCATCTCTCGCTCGAGGAATCGTCGATGGGGTGTAGGAAGGAGAGTTATTTGTTTTGCACTGCGTGTGTTGAACTCAATATTCTGGCACCGGGAGTCCATGATCCTTTGACAATGTAAATTACAAGTGGAAGTCCCCCGGATAGGGCCGCAGATTCTGCTGCGGTTGAACCGCGCGAGCCATCACCTCTGGACGTCGTCGCTGTTCGACTTTTCTTTCGGCTGAACTTTGTCAGTTAATTTTGGCCTGTTGCTAAGTTCTTATCGATCTCGTCCACGCGCAAGCTTCTGCGTCGTTTCTCTCTCTGTCTGTCTCCGCGAGTTCTTTACGAGGATAAAATAAGAGGCGCGCGTCCTGCAAGCCATTTAGATCTTCCGCTTGCTGCTTATCGCCGGCGCCCATTTATCTCGCGTCGACCGGTGCGTATTAATATATTTCAAGTCGCAGTATTCGCGGAAGATATTCAGCGTTGCGTGCCCGATGCTGACCTGAACGCACGCGCCCGGTCTGGGACCTTGCTCGCCCCTCTCGTTGTATAAAGGCGCGGTGCACCCCAGCTGTTGCGCGCATTGGACCTTCGCCAGGCGGGTTCCAGGCTGCGCATGTCTGCGTCCCCGCGAGCTTCTCTGGCCCCTGGCCTGAACGGGCGGATCACAGGCCGCGGCATCCACTACGTCAATGCGCACAGTTTTGCGATCTATACAAGAAAAGACGCGGGTGTCTCTGGAGAGAGCTGTTTGGCTGCCAGAGGTCCATTCGGCTGACAGCTCCGCCGCGAAGCTGAATTCCCCACCGCAATGGCTGGGTTCTGCATATTTTGATTGTCGAGGTGTTCGCGTTGACTTTGGCCCTTGGTTGAATGCACTGTTGTTATTCATCTCCAACTTGGATCCTCGCATATTGATATTAGTGCAACATGTGCAGACATTATTTATTATATCCTTCGATGGGCGAGGGAAAGTACACCAGGCAGTTGGGATCATCATGTCAGTGCTCACCATTTACATCACCATTATATGTACGCGAACCAGCGTTAAATTGCTGGGCTCTCCGACGTTCTACCAGGCAGCCACAAGGCGGAAGGAGTTCAGATCGTATACGTGCTGTCCTGCGCCATGCGTGTCACAGAATTCAACGTGCATCCAGTTCAAGTGTGCGCAGCTTTTTTCCCGATTGGCGAATGCTCCAGCCATGTCTATATATGAATCAGCTCTCCTGGATTTTGTTTGTGACGAGCGGGCGTGTTTAAATTAAATGTTTGTACCTGGCGCGTAAGAGCAAGTTACCAAATCTCTCGTACATAGACAGACGGTACGACGCCTCGCATGCTGCGCCTGCAACTGGGAGCCGAGATACCAGTGGGGCACAGTCTGCGACACCCCTGGTACTCTACACCGCCCGTTATTGCCGTCCGCATTGGTACTGCTCCCATGCCATGTTTGCTACCTAGTACGATGCGAGTCGTCGTGCAGTATACGTATATAAGACCTTCGTGTATATGTATATTGGACTCCCTGCGCGTTTGCAACGGGCTTCCCGAACGTCACCACCGAACCCGATTTTCCTAGGCTCAGACTCCTCAAGCGATCTCGTCTGGCTTTCGAAAAGCTTGCAGAGTGCGGTCGCCACTACGACCGTGTGATACGTCTCGGCTTAATTTTACTGCGCCGTATGTTAGCTTTGGTGGCCTTATCGATCTCGTCCACGCGCAAGCTTCTGCGCCGTTTTTTCTGGCGTCTGCGTCTGCGAGTTCTCTATGCGAAGAAGATCGAGAGATCGGGTCTGGCATGTCAGCTAGAATCTCGTTTGATGCTTATCGGCGCATCCCATTTTTCGCGCTTTGACCGGTGCCTAAAGGGGCCGCGGAGGGCCACCCGGATCAAACATGCCGCGGCGAGGGCACCAGACAAACAACCGACGCGCTCCCTCCATTATAAGCTTATCGTAGATCCGAAATGCTGTCCCCCCCCTCTGTCCGGTCCCCTGCTCTCCCCCATGCTTAGGCTCGCACGGACCGCTCTATCTAGGCCGCGATTTTGCACACCCCGCGGCGTGCGCTACGCATCGCGCACGCCGCCCCGGACGGGGAGACGGGTAGCGCTGGCGTCGGGCGGGGTCGCGCTGGGGCTGGCGGCGCTCGCGACGGGGACGATGTACGCGGACGCGGAAGCTCACGGGACGGCGGCGCGCGGGGACGGGAGCTCGTTGCGCACGCTGGTGCGCACGTACGTCGTGTACACGATGTGCTCGATCCCCGCGCTCGTCGACGGCGCGCCGTGGCTCCTGGCCGCGTGCAGCAGCGTCCCCGGGCTGCGGTGGGTCACCGAGGCGCTGGTGCGCGTCACGTTTTTCGACCAGGTGCGGGCTGCGCTGGTTGCGCACGGTGCGTGGGCTGACCGCTAGCAGTTCGTCGGGGGCGACACGGCGGAGAAGACGATGCCGCTGCTGCGCTCCCTGCGCGCGGCCAACACGGGCACGCTCTTCGCGTACTCGGTCGAGGTGGACGAGGCCGAGGCGACGGCTGCGTCTAGCTCGGGATCGGCGCAGAGCAAGAGCCCGCACAAGGCGATCGTGGAGGAGATGCTGCGCTGCATCGACGTTGCCGCCGACTTTGAGGACGGGCTGGGCGCGAAGGAGACAGGACGGCGGACCTGGGTCGCCGTGAAGATCGTGCGTCCCTTGTCCTCAGCTGCGTGTACTGACCTTAGTGCGAGGACAGACGGCCCTCCTGCCAGACGCGAGCGCGCTCATCCGCCTCTCGTCGCACATCCTGTCCACGCGCCCGCCCACGTCTGAGCCGCACGTCGTCTTCCCGGGCACGCCCGCCCCGTCCGACCTCGACGTCCTCTACGCCCCCACGGCGCCCCCGGACGGGCTCTCCGCCGCGGACATCACGACCCTCCGCGCGCTGCACGCGTCCCTCGACGCGATCTGCGCGCGCGCGCAGCAGCGCGGCGTGCGCATCATCATCGACGCCGAGTACTCGTGGTACCAGCCCGCGCTCGACGCCCTCACGCTCGCCCTCATGCGCCGCTTCAACGCCCTGTCCCCCGAGTCCGGGTCCGGCGCGGGGACGACGCAGCCGCTCGTGTACGCGACGTTCCAGGCGTACCTGCGGCGCACGCCCGCGCACCTCGTGCAGTCGCTCCGCGCCGCGCAGGACGGCGGGTTCGCGCTCGGCGCGAAGCTCGTGCGCGGCGCGTACCACCCGCACGAGCGCGCCGCGCACGGCGCGCGCGGCTCGCTCTCCCTCTCGCGCGAGGCGCGCGCGCCGGTGTGGGCGGAGAAGGCGCAGACGGACGCGGCGTACGACCTGTGCGCGGCGCTGCTGCTCGACGCCGTCGCCGTGGACCTCGTGCGCGCGCGGCGGAGGCGCGGGGGGGCGCAGGGCGTGGGGCTGCTGTTCGGGACGCACAACTGGGCGAGCGCGCGCGGGGTCCTCGCGGGGCTGGAGGCGCGCGGGCTTGCGGTGCGCACGGGGGAGGGAAGGCTGCTGGTGCCGGAGCAGGTGGGCGAGCGGGTGTGCTTTGGGCAGCTGTACGGTGCGCCTTCCTCCCTTCCCTTCTCCCCCCTCGTTGTTTCGGCGTCTGATCCTCATGCGCTGCAGGGATGTGCGACGACCTCACCCAGTACCTCGCCGCCTCCACCGAGGCCGATGCGCCCATGGTCATCAAGTGCGCTGCCTTCCTTCTGCCCCCTTTTCTCTTCCCCCCTTTCACGTATCGCTGACGCGCGCGCAGATACGTCCCCTACGGCGCCCTCGCCGAAGTCATGCCCTACCTCTCGCGGCGCGCGATCGAGAACAAGAGCGTCCTCGGCGGCGGCGCGGCCAGCGCCGAGCGCGCGCGCGCCGGGGCGCTCATTTGGGAGCGCGTTTTTGGGCGGGGGTAGGGGTTGGAGGGCGTTTTGGGGCGGTAGGAGGGCGGTGGGGAGGGAGGGAGGGGGGTGAGCAAGAAGGAGAGGGAACGGACAGGCACAAGGCATTGCATTTGATAGATACAGATACCAAGGCTGCGCAATTAATTTTCTTTCTTTTCTTTTCCTGTTCTGTTCTGTTCTCTTATCTTCCTTTCTTCGTTCAATGGAACAGGGGCGATTATCGCCTCGAGGTTATCCTTCCTTCGTCATTGCCGCACTCAGGTTTGGCTCATCTCACAGAGCGCCTACGAACGGCCTGGTGGTGTAGTGGTAATGCACCTGCTTTATGTTCGTTTATGAAGGCGGATGTTTAAGCGGGAGATCCCTTGTTCGACTCAAGGTCAGGCCATTCGCTTTGATTTCCGAAATCTTTTTAGAATTTTTTTTCTTCTTCTTCTTTCGTTGTCGTTTTCACCTGTGCCAACTAATCTCAGGCTCATCTCGCGATCGGACGCCGACAAGAATCCGTTCTTCTACGTTCGGCACTGCGTTGGGTTCCTCGGTCAGGGTATGTATTTAGACGGTGCGCTCCCTTCGCCTTTCTACTTCGCACAAATTTAAGTTATAATTATTCTAAACGTGTGACAGGAGTGGCCCGGTGGTGTGGTGGTAACACCCCTGCTTTATGTTCCTGTATAAGGTGATGTTTAAGTGGAAGATCCTTGTTCGAACCAAGGCCCGGCTATTATTTTGCAAGACTTTTAGAAAAACATTTTTCTCTTTTCTTGTCTTGTTTAGATCAGATCAGAACTCGGACGCATCCAGGAATCCGTTCGTTCTTCCAATGCCGGTGTTCTCGACTCGACACTCGTTCGGCGGTGCGTTGGACTCGGCCAGGTTATTTAGACGGTGCGCTCCTTTTTTAGCCGTTCCATCCCCATCTTTTCTGTTTCAATTGAACTTGGCTGATCTCAAACTAATTACAGAAACAGCCTGGTGGTGTAACGGTAACACATCTGCTTTATGTAATAGCTTTGCCACGTCTCAGCGGAAGATCCTCGTTCGACTCAAGGTCAGGCCATCATTTTGCAAGATTTGATATTTTTTTTCCTTTTTCAGATGTTTTGGTTTGGCGTACTTGATCTGAACTCGGACGCCTCCAGGACTCGTCGTCCCAACGCCTTGTCGACGCCGGTGTTCTCATTCGGCGGCGTGTTGGGCTCGGTCGGGTTAATTTAGATGGTACGCTTCTTTCTCCATCCCATCCCATCTTATCTATTTCACCCAACCTTCACTGATCTTAAACTGGTTGCGGGGATGGCCTGGTGGTGTAGTGGTAACACACCTGCTTTGTATGTCGTGATCCGTTTCAAAGTTCATGTGGGAAATCCTTGTTCGATTCGAGGTCAGGCCATCATTTTGCAAGACTTGATACTTTTACTTTTTCAGACGTTTTTTGTTTTTGGCGTACTCTGAATTCGGATGCCTCCAGGAATCAATCGGGGCTGGTCGTTCGAACGCTGAGGTTGTCGACACTCGTTCGGCGGCGTTGGACTTGGCCAGGTTATTTAGACGGTGCGCTCCTTTTTTAGCCGTTCCATCCCCATCTTTTCTGTTTCAATTGAACTTCACTGATCTCAAACTGGTTGCAGGCATGGCCTGGTGGTGTGGTAACACACCTGCTTTATTTGTTCCTAGATTATTCTATCGGTGGGGGCTTCTTGTTCGACTCAAGGTCAGACCATATTGTTTGACCGTTATTCTTTTGTCTCCTATAATTCGTTCACGGTCTTTTTCACCATCTCATTTCGGACGCCTCCAGGGAGCGGGCTGCTCAAATGCCGTTCGGTGGCGCGTTGGTTGCTCGGCGGGTTCTTCGTTTCAATATGCTCATCCTTTCTTTTCAGGTATATGCTTTCACCTAGTGCGTCGGCTAATCTCGAGACGGAGAACATACTCACAGAAGTCGAGGATAAAATTCCAGGGAAGAATTCCTCGTTGTTTGAACGCACATTTGTTGGATTCCTTTGCTTCTACACTGAGCACCGTCCGTGTATCTCAACTGACCGGAAACGCGCTGCAATAGCATATGGCGCCATATACGGCCCACCAACATGAAATGTAACATTATGGTTCGTTCTGGGATTTCACCGTCTAATTTGACTCAACAGGAAACGGGTAACAGGGCGTTGGATGCACAGCTCAGAGTCAAGCATTTCAAAGCGCAACAGATAGAAAATAAAGGCTACTGCGTAAAAGGATTATTTTGAGGAATAACTATCAGTATGTGCGAATTGTCCACTATTTGCTCAGCTCTCTTCATCCGCACAGCCGTTCAAGCCCCGAGCTTGAAGCCTCCCCAGTTCAAGTGGGTGAAAACACGTTCCGGGTCGTACGCGGCGCGGATCTCCCGCATCCGCTGGACGTTCTTCATGGGGAAACCCAAGAAGGGGTTCTGAGACTCGCCGGCGTCGCCCATGTAGAGGAATTCCGAGGCCAGGCCCATCTCCTGGTTGATCCTGTGGTGAAACTCCATGAACTTGGTCGCCCAGTTGGTCATGCGCAGGTCGTCGGCTGCGTTCGCCCAGGTGTTGGCGAGTTGCCAAACTGCGATGGTGGTCAGTATATGGTAAACCGTCCAAAGATTGCGGTCACGTACTGATGAGAGACTTGGTGTCGTCCAGGCCCCAGACGTTGCCAACCCCGTTGTGCTTGGCCACGGCGGCGGCGCTTTTGGGCATGGTGTTCAGGACAAAGGTGGAATCCAGGCCCTCGACGTCGGCGACATCGTCCAAGGCCGCGGTCCAAGCCTGGTAGATGGCGAAGATGCGCGCTGCGTCGGGGACGATGGTGCGGTGGGCGAACTGGACGCGGAACATCTGGTTCGGGCTGTCCAGGTTGTTGTGCCACCCGGTCGGTGTGGTAACGTTGTCGAACTGAGAGACGGGTCCGATGGCGGTGTAGTTGGCGAAGCGCGAGGGCGGCGACTCGGTGCCCTCCTGGACGCCCAGGACCATCGGCGTCGCGACCTTGGTGGCGGGGTCATACGCGATGGTGAGGACGGCGCCCGCGGCCACGTCGGGCGTGCTGTTCTCGGTGAAATCGACCGTCGCCTGCACCCAGGCCTCGACCGCGCTCGTGTTGAACGTCAAGATCGTCGTGCTGAGCTTGGGGATGGCGTACGCCTTGAACGTGAAGCGCGTCACCACGCCGAAGTTGTTGGCGCCGCCCTTCAGCGCCCAGAAGAGGTCCCGGTTCGTCGACTTGTTGGCCACCACCTGCGTCCCGTTGCCGAGCACCACGTCATACTGGACGATGTTGTCCATCACGTACCCGTACTTGTTGATGAAGTAGTGGAAGCCGCCGATCAGGCTGAGGCCGGGCACGCCGATAGTTTTCAGTCGACCGCCAAGCGTATACAGGCCGAAGGGCTCAAGCGCCGCGTACACATCGATCCAGCGATTGCCGGGACCGACGGTGAACGTGCTCTCATTGCCATTGGCATGGACGGTGATGTTGTTCAGGTTGTTCAAGGCAAGCAGAACGCCGTTGTCGATGTTGTTAGAGCCAGGGAACTAAAACTCTCGTCAGATTCGAAGCACAGGAATTATTCCGACCGCAGAACACGCACATTCATGTGTCCGCCACCGCGAACCGCGAACTCGGCCTGGCATGACGAAAGAATTCCAACGGCAGTAGCGACCTCGTCTGCGCCGTTGGGAAGGAAAACGCAGGTCGGCGCAAGGTCAGCCCTAATATCCCAATAATCCACGTTCTGCGTCATGTAGTCGGAGGAAGAATTGAATAGCACCGCGTCGCCGTAGAGGGAGGCCAATTGGGAACAGGCGCCGCTCACCCCAGCGCAGGTCGATGCGTTCTGCGCTGAAACGCCCAGAGGCCAATGGGCGATGGCACCGAGCAGTGCTGCCAGCGAAAGGAGATGAAAGGAAGACATTATTTGAAGAAGCAGTGGACAATGCCATGGCAAAGGGAAGAAACTTTGCTTAAATAGCAGCGGTCGCCGGTGAGAAGAGTAACGAGTGAAATTCAGCGTTCAGCCCATGTTCGTGCGGCTGATCGCAGTGATCGGATATATATCCAGCGAGAAATAAGCTCGCCAAGAGCTCGCTTCAACCCAAAGAATCCAGCGAGGTGGTGCGGTTACAGTTTTGGGGCGTCAGATTTCCTTTAAAGGGTTCAACCCAACTTCCACGTGCTTTGAAGTTCACACGGACAATATGGGTTGTTCGCATGAATACAGCGGTAACATGCTATAAACTCCAGAGTATTCGGGTGCACTGAATCGCCCTCAAATAGGTTGCAAATAGGTCCGTATTTTTTATCCAGGTGGTTATCCCAACGAGGGTGTGCTGTATCGTTTTCTGTCTATTTCTTTTCGACCTAGTGTACGAGGGTTCGTAACGTTCGCTTGTATAAAAATCTCGCGAAAGAGACGCGAAAGACTGCGCAAAATAAAGGTATGTCAGACAGAGAGTGTCATCGAGGCCGCAAGCCGAGTGGCTGTGCGGCACTCTGCTTCCCAATGCAAATGCAAATGCAAATGCCCACATTGGAGGAATATGGCCATACGGAGCCATACCTATTAGCTTCGCTCACACCGCTGGTACGCCTACTCCTTGCCTACAATCGGGAGGAAATGCTGAATAAGTCGAGCCGCCGGAGGCAGCGGAGCGAGTGTATGTGCGAGCGAGTCAGCAACAAGCCGGCTCGAGAGTCGAAATACTGAGAGAGCGGGAGCGGATGACGAGGGCAAGAACTGCGAGAACGACAGCTAAAGCAAGCGATGAGATGGGGGCAAAAGTGTTGATTCACGGCAGTAGTGCAGCTTGTGTACAGAACAGGAAAGGAAATGGAAATCTCACTACTAGAATATCCTACGAGTCATTCCGAAAGGCTTCGAGCACTAGAAACCACAATAGTCCCATTCAGATGCACCGAGTTTATAGATGACCCCTGATACAGTCGCATTTGGCGTGGGTCTCTTCAATTCGGAGAGGCAAAGGCCCGGTGGCCACGAAAACAAGATGGGGAAGGAGCTTGGAGCAAGTGTGAGGAAGATTGTTGATATGGCGGAAAAGGCGCGAGCGAGCGGTAGGCGGATCGGCGACGACGGCGACGACATGGCGGTAAGAGGCAAGACGCGTTGTTAGGTTCGGAAGGTGTTGCCAAGTCGGATCATGGAGCGATTCCGGCATCAGCGCTTCGAGCTCTCAAATTCGCCAAGTGCGTGCGAGTTGCATTGAATCCTCCATCCTTGCTGCCCCCTCCCACAGACTACTTCTGTGGCAGGGGAGTGCGAGTCGACCTTCCCAGGCGATCTTATCTTGTCTGCAGATTATTGTCCCGACGTCTTGGTAACCTCTTGGACCTGTGGACGGTACGGAATAATACGTATTATAACGTAGGGAACTTCGGAATTCTGGGCTTAAAACACTGTGTCTTAGGAGCTCAGCCACTTATGCCTCATCATTTCGTGCTCTGATCTTCGCCTCGACACGAATCTTAGTGATGTCCCGGGTCGGGCTTGCAGTGGGCCCGGGCCTGACTACATACCCCGTTGACTTGAATTTCTAGCCGAGATACAATCTTCAGAGTTTCAATGCAACATAAACTACCCCCATTACAGTATTTCCCCCAATTTCATCGGGGATTTGCAGGTTCAAGAGGGGACGGACCAGTTTGATCGAGCGATGGTTGAACATTGTCTGTTCAAAAATGTGCATTTCGTTGTTCACAGTTACTTGCGTGGGGTCGGAGATGAGCAGGCATCAAAATAAACCTTTGATGCATTCCCAAACTGACTTGTGTGCACTTGGAAAAATTTACAGTCAAGCCCGGACCTGAGCCCAAGCCCGGCCCGACTCGGGCTCAGGATTTTCTCGAGCCCAAGCCCGACCTGACCCACACAACACTAAACACGATCTTTAGGCAGCACCGCGGAAGGCAAGGGGACCTTTAAAATGGTATTTATTGAATTATCATCGTCCTCTGGTTCAGGACCTGTTGTAATGTGAAGTCGATGGGAGCGAAATTAGATTTAAAAAACCCCCGAAGGAATGAGTTTTCCTTCGGAGGAGTTGAAGTACAATATTGCATGAGGGACTACGACTGTAGTTCACGCGGTCGAGGGCACAGCCCCAGGCCCGGCTCCATAGTGTGCCACCAGGAGGAATCGAACCTCCGACCTCCGCATTTCTGAAGAAAAGTCCAGGACGGGCGTTCTACCACTGAACTACAGTGAGCACGATGATAGACCAAATCTGGCGAAGATAATACACAAAATATATGCAAGATGGAATGAATAATCGAGGCAACGATGAGGCTTTATTCGGTCTTCATTGGCAGAGAATATGAGTAAGGATTTGGTAAATGTAGGCTCCTGGCTCTAGACCGGTAACCGATCTCTCGTATGAAGACAATCGTTCATAGAGACACTTGTTTTCTAGTAGACAGAACGGTCACCGGTCTATCCTGGCTCCTGAGTTCATGATTGGTTCATGACCATCAATCACTGTCATCAGTTGCGGAATCAAAACTCGGCATTAAATTGACGCGTCGGTGGCAGTGCAACTCGCGAATCACGTCTGACCTTCTCACTCTCTTTTGCACCACCTTGGCACCACCTCCACGCCCGTCCGCAGACGCGTCGAAACCCTCCAAAACCTCCTTCCACACCATTCCTCGCACCCGCATACCATGAAGAAGTCCACAAGGTCCAAAAAACCATCGCAAAGGCCATCAGTGCCGCCGAGGCCTCGGTCGACGGTGTCGAATACGACCCTCCACACTGGCACTAGGGCTCTTGCCTGAATCAGTTTGGACTTGGATCACTTCTGCGCCTACTGAGGATGAAGGAGGGTCGATGGAAAGCGTGCGATAGAACGGCAACTACCGCAAATGGGCGCGTTGCTTGTTCCTCATAATGCTCGACGATTTGCCCGGACAAAAAACCAATGGGATATTCTAAGGTATGAATCTTCCCGCGCACACTGACTAATACTAACTCATTACGACTTGGAAGACGGTGAGGACTGCTGTCGTCGTTCATGAGATCTTCAAGAAGGCGATGGAAACCATCCATCGACGCTACGTGAAAAGAGAGTGGCTCGAGGGGATGACGGGCTCTTTGCTTTGCTACTGTGCATGGACACGCTCGTCAGACCCTTTCGTCGTGTGTTTCCGCCCTTCTCGTAACCGGCGGAGCCGCCTATACGTCCATGTACGTACGCTCCATTGTTTCATGTGCGAACGAGATGCCCACAAATATTGCAGCGAAGATCAAAAGACGAAGCAGGCGCTTCGTCGGCTCTAAAGTGCGACGCGACAGCCAGCAGGTCTGGCATCTACAGTATTGTCTCCACCGGACTTCATTCATACTTTAAGCACAGTTCTCCATGGCCAATTTTTACCAACCGCCCGTGAGGTTCAAAAACTCAACGAGTCTCCGCCCCAGGCCAGCGTAAGTGGTTCCCCTTTCGATTTGAACAGCGTTAGCGAGCCCGGTGTAGGTCCGGATCCTGTAATCCACTCGCACAAGAACTCCGGTGATTCTGAGGTGTCGAACCAAAGCGTGGAGCCGGGAGCCCAATCCTCAAGGCCAGGCTGCTCGGTCCTGATTTTGAACAGGTGCGCTCCTCGCAGTAGTACAAAGCGCTCCTCTCAGCAGTACAGAGCGCCCTGCCCTGTTCAACTGACTGACTTCTACAGGAGAAATTTAATATTGGTGAGCGCTGGCTGGTCTTCCAGCATTCGAGATGTCATGCGCCGAAGCTTCGACCCTCCAGTCGCGAATCTCCCCGTCAACCTTCCACCCGGTCTGTGGTTCGCCGCGGGCAAAGCATGAACGGTACATACGATCCCACGACCTGCCATAATGGTCTCGCTTTGGTGGCCCGTAAGTTGCGCCCGGCCCGCCGGGTACAGCCAAGAGAAACGAGCGAGGTCGTTCTGTGAGGGTTGGCACTCATGCCGCGGCCGCGCCAATATCGAAGGATGCGTAGACTCGGTAGGACGGTGAGTTACCGCCATTTGCAAGCCCGGCCGAGGCGCGGAGTTGCCGACCCGGGACGCTCGGGTGATGGGTCACTGGGGCACATGTTCAAGCTCAGGCCGGCGCTGATTCACGATCGTCCCCTTCACTACTCCGCGGGATCCGCTTTCGAGCCCGCGAGCGTCGTAATAACTTCAATAAGGGCGCTAGCGCGGGGGCCCGAAAAAGACAGCTCCAAGGATGCCCATGACGGGGTTTTGGCTGTAAATAGTCAGCGCCTCGAGCGCTAGCAGGGCATTATGTCCGCCCGCGCTCTACATCTTCACCTCGTCTTCACCGCTGGAACACAGCTGTCGGGCGCGCGGCTCTTGAGCCTCGTGTGTCCTCCAAGTCTAAGTATACATCGAACTGGAATGAAATTAAAGGCGCCGCGTGCGCAAGCGTTGTACGTCCAATTCAAATCGGGTAGATGAGCTGTAGCTATGGCGCCCGTGAAGTGAAGTGGGAAGTGGAGCGGTGATCTCAGTGGCGCTACTTTGGTACTTACATGCTGTGAAATTGATGAGAATGACGAGTCAAATTTGTGTGGGAATGAGGATTCGTAGGAAAGTCGATTTTTTCCTTTCAAGGCGGGAAGAGGAGACGGTATGTGCATGAACGTACCATGGGTGCAAGAAAAAAGCATACTGTACAAGGCGCCCGTGGGCACACCGTGGGTCCAAAGAGGGATATCTGTGGCGTGGAGCCGTAAGCTCAGAGGCGCTGGGTTAGACGCTGGACGACGATTCCTTCAGAGGTTATATGCATGAATGAAATACAGTACAATTGCATGATGATGTGTAGATCGGCTCCCTTCTTACAGATTGCAGAATATATCGCCCCCAAACTGCTGTCGTGACGCTCGTGGTTATTCGGATCTAGAGTCACGTCTTTCACAGCCAGTGCGCCTCGCGCAGCAGACCCCGCACAGCCGAGGTATCGGGCTTGAGCTCGCCGAGGAGCGGGGAGAAGTACTTGCGCAGCTTATGCCCGAAGCTGTCCTGGTAGAGGACGTTCCAGTATGTTAGGTTCTGTGCCACTTTAATTTCTTTCTCAAAAAAAAAATTGAGTGGGTATACTGACGTCGCTGGAGCCGAGCTTGGGGACAGAGCGCGGGAATATGCGGCCCTTGATCCACTTGTCGTGGTTCCGGATCCAGACACGGTCGTTCGGCTGCGGGGCGGAGTCAGTCACTGTCAGGCACATCCGTCAGAGGGGGGAGGGCGGCATTATTTACCTGGAAGGTGTACGCCCAGGGGTCGTCGAGGTGGCGCGGGTGCCCTAATGCGCTGTTAACGTTCTCGTCGTCGTCGGCGGTGGCATCAGAGTCCATGGCGTCGTCGTCGTCAAAGGCAGGCTCCGGGGCTGTGGCGCGCCAAGCTTTCGCTTTGGACGGACCTGGGGCCGGGAGTGCGGAGGAACGAGTACGGCGTGGGGATGTACGGGTGGGCATGATTATGACGTCGTCAAGTGTTCGTAGCCAAAGACAAAAGAATTTCAGAAGAAAGAAAAATCGGTGGGGTGGGTGGCACGAGGGGAGACGGAGACAGAAAGATGATTGTCGATCGGCTTTATATGTTGCTGTGCTGTCAAATAGACGGCCCAAAGCAAAGCGCGGGAGTGTGATGGTGGGTGGCACGGAAGAAAGCGCGGGGCTCTGCTCTTATAGCCACGTCACACGCGGTTAAATTTAGGGTGCAACCGGCCTTTCTTTGTTGGGAGACAATCCATCACCCGAGAACAATGGCGCCGGCACTTGGGGGTGCTTTGTTCTGTGGCCACCCAGTGGCACCCCCGGAGGAAATACAAGTGTCTGGCTACGAGAGGACAACAGCAGTAGGCTGTAAGAAAACTTATAACCATCTTAATGCAGAACAATCTAGAGAGTTCCATCTATCCGATGATCAAGATTGACGCGGCGGCGTTTTGCTCGGACGCAGATCATCAGTCCCAAATCCGTCTCCTGCTTTAACGCCTGCAGTATCGGGTAGAATCAGTATTCACTCCTCCAGAATCCGCGTCTGAGCGCTCGATATAGCGGCAGCCAGCCTGCAACGGCGTGGCCGGGAACGTGGAAATGGGCGTGGAGCTGTACAGTTGACGTAACGGTTACGCCCGGGCCCGCTCCCGGAACCATCAGGATCATGATGACTGTCGGCCGATGCCGTGTTGACTCAACCCGACTGACTGACTGACTGCCTGACTGACGACTGACACAGCGAATGCTACGATTATTCAGTCCACAAATCGGACTTGGACTCGGACTCGGACTCGCAGTGGATTTTTTGTTCGCGGAAACATTATTTAATATTGTTCAACATCCGCCGATCACTCAACGATCACTGCCTTGTTGCAGTTCGGAGTTTCATCCGCATCGCGGTTGGGTCCACGGCTGGTTCGGCATGTTCGGGCTCTGATGCGCACGCATCTCCTCGCCGTCGGACCCGCCGGGCGAGGTGCGCGTCCATGCCGAGAGATTTTATCCGCAGAGCCGCAGTTCCGTGCGCAGTCCGCTCAGTCACGGCGCGGGGCGATGTCAAAAACGGGGAACGAGGGTGTTTGACCAAGCATTTGACAAATATTTCCAATCTTCAACAGCACTGGATTTTCGCTTATGCAGCTGAACCTCGCTGGTCAAAAATGGGCTCGCTCAGATGCATGTACAATACGTGATGCATCCGGTAAGTTATGACCTGCGCTCGACTCATTTTACGATGTCCCCGCAGTGGCGCAGTACCCAAAGCACTGTACATGTATATAAAGCATCGACTGCGCCGCGCGTGCCGCCGGTGCTTGCCAACTTTTCTTGAACGCAACTCTGGATTTTCGCACTTGTGCCTACGCCGTTGAACCTCGGTCGACAAAATATGGAGTCGTGCTTATACATCCGGTATCTTGTTAGAGATATAAGCTCAGTTGGGCACGTAGAGGTGAACAACTATATATTTAGTGCCTGTTAGAGATATAAGCTAGGTATGAATGTAAGTAAAATATAGAAGAATAAATAAGTAGAAGAGACGAACCTCAGTTGGGCACGTAGAGGTGAACAACTAAGGAGCATCTCCGTAGATATGTAGTCGATCGTAAAGTGAAACGGGGTTGTTACAAATTGGGGGAGATTGGTCTACGCACTCGGGCGTAGGCCCGACTGCCGGCGCTATGGCTTGCCGAGCCACTACTTCGACATATCTGACCCGCGTTCGACTCATCTTAC